GGGGCAAGAGCAGAAAGTCAAGGCTTTGTAGTACCATGCCTCTAAGATGGAAGCTGCATATTTGACAAAGGGTGATCATGGCTCCTTTCTGCTTTTCCTTTTTTTGCTGTGTGTGTAGACAGCATAGAGACAACTTCGGCCCCACCCAGTGGTGCTCGGGGGCTACTTTTTGCTTTCTGCTCAGGAGTGATCCCTGGTGGTGCTCTGGGGACCCTATGTGATGCCTGGGATTTGAACTGGGGTTAGCAGGATGCAAGGCAAGTGCCTCATTCTCTGTACTATCTCTCTGGCCCCCCTCGTTTTCTTAATGCTTTTTCTACCTTTAAATTAGAAATACAAGCTGGGCAAAAACTTCTAGCTATTATTACAATTTTCTATTATTCTCCAGGATTTTTTTTTTGGGGTATACGCTTTGGATTGCAGACTGAATACAAATATTGATCCGAAGCCAAGAAAGCCCCACTCATTTCTTGTCAATTCAATCCAGGCCAATCTGTCTCTCAAATCTACATTTTTATGTTCTTGCCTCACCACTTACTAAAAGAAATACATGAGTAAATAGCAATCCAATCCAAATAAGCATCTTTCATCTGCAATTATCTGAAGCAAGAGATTTCAAGTGTGGATCCATTTCACCAATGGCATCTTCAATGCCTGTTCCATCATGCTGGGATGTTTCAATTCAATTTCCAGAGCATGTGAATGTAGAACACTGCAGAGGGATGCTTTGGACAGACTCTGAGAGGGACACAGGGTCAAACAGTTCCTTTGTTGTTCTGTGACAGACAGACAGGCTCTGGACTGATTCAGCGGGTGGGAAAGTTATGTCTAGATCTGGAATAGATCATTCACACAATTAGGTTCTTGTCAGGCTAAGGGAAAAAACCCACCCACATAAAAACACCAAATAACAACAACAAAAAATACACGACTTCCCAAGGCCCGATGGAAAGTAACTGCTTTTTGCCCATCCATTTTTAAAATTTGAAATGAGAACTAATGACTGGAAAAGCAGTTCTAAGTTTTCAAAAATAGTTTTGAAAATTTCTCCCCCTTTCTCTTGTAACACATTTTTACTTGAGTAGAAAGGTTACTATTTTGAGGTGATATTTGGAAATCTTGAAAAAAAAAAATAGATGTTTCCCTCACTGGAAACTGTTTAATCACGTAAAGCTTAATCTCGTCAAATTATCTTTGAACATACAACTACAGCCCTATAAAGTTATTATTATACTGAACAGTTCTAAACTATTACATCCATTTTTTTGGCTTTTTGGGTCACACCCGGCAATGCACAGGGGTTACTCCTGGCTCTGCACTCAGGAATTACCCCTGGCAGTGCTCAGGGGACCATATGGGATGCTGGGAATCGAACCCGGGTCGGCCGCGTGCAAGGCAAACGCCCTACCTGCTGTGCTATTACTCCAGCCACATACATCCATATTTTTATTACACATAGAATTGTATAACAATCCATATCTAGAATTTGTAATTGTATAGGTCAACTGACAAGATCTGGATCTTTTTATTTTGTTTTTATTTTGTTTTGGGACCACATCAGGTGGTGCTCAGAGCTTCCTCCCGGCTCTGTGCCTAGGGATCCCTCCTTGGGAAGCTTATGTGGTACCAGGGATGAAACCAGGTACAGCCATATTCCAGGCAAGCTCCCTACCCACTGTGTCACTCTGGCCCAAGAGTGGATCTTTGAAAGGTTGTTGTTCTTTCTGTTGATATGATCTGCAAGTTTAGTTTCGGCATTTATCATTATCTTCACCTGGCACCAGTTATTTACGCTTGTTCAATTACTGGTAAAAGAGATGTACTGAGTCTAACATAGCAATGACTGTGCTTGTTTTAAGTAACAAGACTATGACTTCAACCAGATTTTCACTGTGTGATCAGTTGTGAAGGGAATGAATAAACCAGTAAGTATGAAGTTTTAGGAAACATGCCAGGGAAGATGATCAAACGGAGAAGGAACAAAGTGTTTGGCTCCTTGGGAAGGATGTTCCCCTCACACCCCCGCACAAAACACACTGAAGATGATTTCATTTTTGGGTTTTGGGCCACACCCAGCGGTGCTCAGGACTTACTCCTGGCTCTGTGCTCAGGAATCACTTCTGGTGGGGTGTGGGGGACCATATGGGATGCAGGGATCAAACCTTGGTCAGCCGTGTGCAAGATAAGCACCCTACCTGTTGTATTATCGCTCCAGCCCCTTAAGTTGACTTTAAACTTTCAATGACTTAACTTTACTCCACATATTCAAAGATCTAGCAGATGCTAAAGTCTACATGTTATACTCAAAATCAAGCATCATTAGTATGTCCAGCAGAATTACAGAAGATTAAGTTTAGATGGATGTATATTAATTTCCTCTATTTTAAAATAATAGGTCTAAGTTGGGTAGCAAGTTCAATGCACTGGGGCACAAACTTTGCGGGCCGGTTGATTCTGCCACCACACAGCCCTCTGGGCACCACTGGGAGTGATCCCCGAGCACAGACCCAGTGGCAGCCCTGCGCGCTGCTGTCTGTGGCCCAAATCCTAAACCAGATGACTGTTCAGCATTAGTGGTGAGACTGCAGAGATGAGCTCATTTGCTAAATGCGTCACAGTTCTATTAATGGGAGCACAGGGATCAGAACCTGGGGTTTCCTTAATTCAGTCTTCCAACCCCTGCCCTGCTCTTTGCTGTCACTACTGTTGTGATGAACAGTGGACACTCACTGGCTGCTGTGCTCACACTGGGCAGCAGTGGTTACCAGGAGTCACACAGTTGAAGTCGTAGTTCTTGCACACGTGTCTGCTGTGGACTGCCACCCTCTCACTGTGATACTCCATTCATGGGCAGAGGGCACTGTAGAGTTCTTGGCCACTGGCACCGAGGCCCACACTCACGGCTAGAGGCACTGGCGATGCTCCCCTCACGGCCAGGGGCTGCAGTGGCGCCCACCGGAGACTGCACCCAGCAGTGGGGCTTCCAGTACCCGTAGAGGTCCTAGTAGCCCAGTGCCTTAGTTTCCCCAGTACTTGCTTCTGAGTTAGGTTCAAATAAATAGTACACTTAAGACTAAGAAACAGCCTAAGACAGACAACCATGAGAAAAAGGTTGACATGTGAATTCTGAGTACACAGTAAATCAATCCACACATACACACAACTCAGTGAAGACAGCTTCAAAATATTCTGTAACAGAGCCCGGCAGTCTAAAACCTCCAGAATCCAATTGCCGCCCTGCTTACGGCCAATCTCCACAGGCTTAGATGAGCCTCATCCATGAGCAAATTCGTTGAAAAACTCAGGTATGTAGGTTTTGTGACTGCAATCTTCAGGCTCTCACGGAGTCGGAAGTGGGTGACCTCCCGACCCCCCTGTGCTTCCAGAAGCCTGGAGGTCATACCCACAAATTATCTCTGGCGCCATATAAGCTCATTAATGGCTATGATCTAGAGACTCACAAATAAATCCCTCAGAAGAGAGCAACAAGCTGCAGAGATGCCTCCAGATCCCAAAGTCATCATCCAGTTAAAAATTTAACTCCAGAATCTGCAGAAAACCCAGGTATGCAGGACTTGTGATGGAAAACTCCAGGCTCAACAGAATCAGAAATGCGTGACCTCCCCCACCTCCCCCCTCTTCCAGCAGTTTGGCAGTCATCCCCACAAGCTGTGTCGGCACCATATCATCAATGGCCATGATCCAGAGACTCAACAATAAATCTCTTGGAAGAGAGCACAGAAGGAAAACAAAATATATTTAACTGCAGCTGAATCACCTTATTTAAAATTTTAGAATTCCTGAATTGTGCAGCCACGTTTGCAGCTGTGCAATATTTCATACTCGATATCACAGATGTACCAGGACTAGTACACATTGGATGGGTTGTAAAGTAGAAGGCAACCAATCGAATTAAAAAAAATATTAGTACACAAGGCTCAACCTGAAGCAACATGTTAGTAATCTCTTATACAAGGGCTCAATGACTCCAGGGTGAGATACAACACTCTTCACACACTTTCCTCGAAGGAAACCTCTTTTGACCATTTTTAGAGAATTATTCATAACAAACAATACAAAATAAATGTTTTAGGGCCTGCCTGCTATTGGGGTAGGCTTGGGTGGTGGTTGGGAAATATTGGAAGTAGGTATAATGGTGGTGAGATTGGTATTGGAATATTGAATGTAATAAATTATTGTGAATAACCTGATAAAAATAAAATTAAAAAAAATTCAGTGTAGCACTATAATGGTAAGCACAAATGATGGCATTTCCACGCAACTATGGTATCGATTCGGAGAGGAGCAAGATGCGGAGTGTGTGCTGGTATGTGCCCGTCCCAGACTCCTACAGGGACAAGCTGGGGTGGTTGGGGGGGTCTCCTAGGCACCTATTCATACTGCATCTTGACTCCATAAACACCTGTCTTTTAGGTTGAGCCATGTTGCCAGCCTCCTCCTGGATTAAAAACATCATTCTCCCAATTTTCCCCACAGAGAAGATGCCAAACAGAATTAAAAAAAAAATACAGCTTCTTGGGGCTGGGATGATAGTACAGCACTGGCCTTCTGGTGGCTGATCGAGTTTGAATCCTAGCACTCCATGTGGTCACCTGAGCCCACCAGAAGTGATCCCAGAGCACGTAGCCAGGACTAGCCCTGAGCATAGCTAGGTGTGGCCCCCCCAATCAGCCCCCCCTCCCCAACAAAACTAAAAAACTCAACAACAAAACCAAAAAATAAAAAAACCAAGTTTTGGGGCTAGAGTGATAGTTATAGTGGGTAGGGAGGGTACTTATCTTGCACATCACTGACCTACGTTTGGTCCCCAGTATCCCATATGGTCCCCCTAATCCCACCAGGAGTGATTCCAAAGTACAGAGTCAGGAGGAAGCCCTGAGCACCTCCAGGCCATACACACACACACACACACACACACACACACACACAAAACAAAAAAACCCAAAACTTTTCCCCTTTCATATGTATCAAGAATCTTTTATTATTAGAGAAATTCTCCACATCTATTAGTTAAAATAACTAACACATCTTAACTTTTATAACTAACGATCAAAAGTTGATTGTGACATTAAATTTTTTTTTCTGATTAAAAAATGGATTATTTTCTTCGGTAATGTTCTGTAAAGCTCTAAGAAGGAGATGTGCATTTGCCATAGGCTAAATGAAAGGGAGAAAGGATTCAACATTTCATCGGTAGCTCCCAGTTGATTCCCAAAGGTCAGAGACACAGAGATATGACTGTTAAAGACAAAGTAAACGATACCACCTCATCCTATCTTAGAAACTGGAAGGACCTTGGGGACCATCCAGTCCAACTTCTTTTTCTTCCTCTTGTTTTTTTTTTTTTTTGCTTTTTGCTTTTTGGGTCACACCCGGCGATGCAGAGGGGTTACTCCTGGCTCTGCGCTCAGGAATTACCCTTGGTGGTGCTCAGGGGACCATATGGGATGCTGGGAATTGAACCCAAGTCTGCTGCGTGCAAGGCAAATGCTCTACCCGCTGTGCTATTGCTTCAGCCCCCAACTTTCTTCTTAATAGATTTAAGATTCTCACTGCTGCTGGCACCTCCTCTTGAGAGCATTCGTCTTCCATGAAATGCTGCCCGTGCCTACGAAAGTCATGACCGTATGGCCTTCCCACGCTGTATCCTGTGGCATCAACAGCTCCATGCCAGGATATGCCTGCGTCTGTGTTTCTAATGAACAGTCCTCTAGAATGCACACGCACATGGAGTGCTTCTGCGTGGAGTCATTCCCTTGGCAGGGGTACAGCTATAAAAGGCACGAATGCGTAAATCTTGGAAAAGGGATAACATCCTTGATGTTGTCAACTCCCAGGATACACTGCAGGTAACGTTCAAATCCCATTCCAAATCCTCCATGTGGCACTGATCCAAACCGACGGAGGTCCAGATACCTGATTTGAAAAAAAAAAAAAAAAAGAGAACCATCGCCTATAAATGTGGGAGATCAGACTCTAACATACAAATCCTGATGTTTCAAAAGATCTTGTTTTCTAAAATTATAAAAAAAATTATTAAAGCACCATGAGTTACAAAGTAATTCATAGTTGGGTTGTTGACACACAATGTTCCCTGACCAATCCTGCCAGCAGTGTCCCCTTCCTTCCACCAGTGTCCCCAGGTACCCTCTCCCACCGCCCACCCCACTCCGACCTGCCATCTTGACAGGCACCTTTTAAGTTTGGTTCTTAAAGTTCTGGTCTCCAAACACGATAGCCTCTCAGTATCTGTATTGCAAACCGTAATGCCCAAAAGTAGAGAGAGAGAGTATGGGGAATATTGCCTGCCATGGAGGCAGTGGGAGGGTGGGAAAGGGAGGGTATACCGGGGAGATTGGTGGTGGGAAATGTGCACTGGTGGAGGGATGGGTCTTTGATCATTGTGTGATTATAACTCAAACGTGAAAGCTTGTAACTATATCTCACGGTGATTCAATTGAAAAAAAAAATTGGGGTCTTACGATTTTAGTGTTGCTGAATCTGTGGTTTGGAGATTTAGAGCTATCATTCCTTATTTTTGCAATCTTTTTTGGGGGGCTTCCTCACTTCTGGCAGTACTCAGGGCTTTCTCTTTGTCTCTGTGCTCAGACATGTCTGGTGAACTCAGGGGACCATAAAGGATGCTGGGGATTGAACCCAGATTGGCTGCATGCAAGGCAAGCACCCTCCCCTCGGTACTATCTCTTCAGTCCCTATAATAATTCAAAACAAACAAACAAACAATTCACATCATTGTCCTTCCACAGAAAGATGAAGGAAAAAGAAGTTAAAAGTGACCTGATTCCAACACCCACCCGGCAGGCTGCCTGTCACCAGGTGGGTCGCCCCTCACTCAATCCTGCATCTTTTTTTTTTCTTTCTTTAATTTATTTATTTTTAAGTTTCACTGAATCACCGTGAGATAGTTACAAGCTCTCATGTTTGGGTTACAATCACACAATGATCAAACACCCATCCCTCCACCAGTGCACATCCCCCATCACCAATCTCCCCAGTATACCCCACCTCCCATCTTCACCCCGCCTCCATGGCAGACAATATTCCCCATACTCTCTCTCTACTTTTGGCCATTATGGTTTGCAATATAGACACTGAGAGGTTATCATGTTTGGTCCTTTAGCTACTTTCTGCACTCATCTCCCATCCCGACCGAATCCTCCAGCCATCATTTTCTTAGTGATCCCTTCTCTATTCCAGCTGCCTTCTCCCCTTTGCTCATGAGGCAGACTTCCAGCTATGGAGCAATCTACCTGTACTGTGTATCCTTAGCTGGAGCGATAGCACAGCGGTAGGGCGTTTGCCTTGCACGCAGCCAACATGGTCGACCCAAGTTCGATTCCTCCGCCCCTCTCGGAGAGCCCGGCAAGCTACCGAGAGGATCTCGCCCGCACGGCAGAGCCTGGCAAGCTCCCCGTGACATATTCGATATGCCAGACACAGTAACAACAAAGTCTCCAATGGAGAGGTTACTGGGCCCGCTCGAGCAAATCGATGAACGGGAGGACCGTGACCGTGTTTCCTTAGGTGTCAGCCTCATGTTATGTTGTTTTATACTCCACAAATGAGTGCATCTTTTAAGCCATTCAGATATTCCCAAAGAGGAATGCTGCTTCATTAGGCCATGCATTACTAATGGCTTTGTCACTTTCCTTGAAAATGGTCTTTTGGCACTTTGTGGTGTGTTAATGTAAGTCTTTCTTTACCAAAATTATATTGTTCAACACACGTGAAGGATTAAAAAGATTTACCTGAAACAATATCTCCTACCATATGATACTACCAGTAAATGATACCAAGGGCAAATCCAACGTCTTTTTGCGTGTTTGTTTTTAGAAATGCTCAGGGCTTACTCCTGGCTCTGTATTCAGGAATCTCCACTGGCAGTGCTTGGGGGGGACCAGATGGGATGCCGGGGATTGAACCCTGATCGGCCGCATGCAAAGCAAACACCCTCCCCGCTGCACTCTAGCTCCAGTCCCAGACCCAGGGTCTTATCCAGGCACTTAACTCCAATGTCTGCTATAGAATAGATGATCACTATACCAAAGATTTCTTGTTTGAAGCACTAACATGTAATCTTGTTTTTTTTTTTTGGGGGGTGGGGGTGGGAATAAAGACTCAAAGACACTGAGTGTGTCTAAGAGTCTAACTGGTTAATGAGACTTTCAAGGGCCATTCCTGGATTAGTGCTGTGTGTGTGTGTGTGTGTGTGTGTGTGCGCGCGCACATCTCTGCACGCATGTATGTGTGATACGTGTGCATGCATGCATGCCAAGGACTGGACATATGTTAATAACTGAGCCTCACACATGTCAAACACACACTACCACTGAGCGACTCTCACCCCCTTAGGTGAACTTTAAACTTTCTGAATCTGTTTTTTTTTTTTTCTGGGGGGGGGAAATGGGGGGTTGGGGCCATATTCCATGGTCTCAGGACTCCTCCTGGCTTACTGTTCAGGAGTTGCCCCTGGTGGTCTCAAGGGTCCCCACAGTGCCAGGGATTGAACTGAGGCCTCCTGCAGGCAAAACCGTTGGTCATCTCCCAGGGCCCCTTTCATGCATGTCAGAAACTTTGCCTCTTCATTACCAAAAGGCAAGTGTGTCCCTTGATTCTTTCGCTTCCCAACTGTTGACACTGTTATCCAACCCTGAGGCAATGCTATTAGAAAAATACAAGCTTGTCTAGATATCAAAAAGGGCTTGGGGACAGACTGCAAAGACAAGCAAAGGGAGTTCCAAGAAGTAAATATAGGAGAGCCAACAGGAGATCTTCCCTGGGCTGCTGAGATTTCCAGATCCCTAGGCTGGATCACTTAGCTCGCACCCTGGTCTCACAGAGAGGAGAAAGGAAGCACAGTGATTACGAGCAAGGGGCAGCTCTAGGCTGGTTAACGAGAGCTCTCGGTTAAGCTCGTCGACACCTCTGAACCCCAGGCTAGAGACTTATCAGAAACAGGTAAGAATAATATAGGGGGCCCGGGGGTGCTGCTCACTGGCAGAACTCTGACTTGCACTCAAGACGTCACTGGTCCTAGTGTGAGGACCATGATAAAAAGAGAGGAGAGAGAGGAGGCAGAGGAGGGGAGAGACGGGGGAAAGAAGGAAGAGAGGAGAGAGAAGGGAGAGGGAAATAAGGCGGAAGAGAGAGGGAGAGGGGAGGGGAGGAGAAAGGGAGAGAAGAGGCGGAGGAGAGAGAAGGGGAGGAGGAGAGAGGGAGAGGAGAGAGAAGGGGAGAAAGAGGGAGGAGGTAAAACAGGGACAGAGATGAAGAGGGAAAACGGAGAGGGAAGGGGAGGAGAGAAGAGGGAAAGATGGAGGGAGGAAAGAGAGAAGAGGGAGAGACAGGGGCAGAGGGAGAAAAGGAGAGAGGAGAGAGAGGGGGGCAGGAGAGGAGTGCCTCGTTCTCTGGTGTTGTCATGATCACATAAAAATGTTCACGGCATTCCCTGGCCAAACGGCGCTCAATGTTACTATTTAAGGACCCCAACGTTTCTCTTCACGCGTGCCCACAGTCCTCTGGGTGCAGTCACGGAGCACTCGCTCACCGGCTAGAGTAAGAATCAGGGGCCGTGTTCTTACCATTGGTAGGTTTCCGTCAGTCCGAGTCTGGAAGAGAACAGAACAACATGGTTTCAGAGAATGAATGGTGTCATGAGAAGTCTGCCCACCGCCAGCGGTTTCATCCTGGGCGGGACGCAGAGAGCCCTGCGTCCTGGAGTGTAAACCACAACCTCTGTCCTCTCCAGAAACACGTAGAAATATGGGGCAGCCGGGAGAGAGGGACGGTCCAGCAGACGTCACTGACAGTGGATGCTACTACAGCAGGTGGGGAGGGTGCAGACCCCAGAAGCAGGGGCTCCTGTCATGCCCGCTGACTGTCCTGGGACATCCTATTAGTGCTAGGACCATTACTGGGGCTACCAGGAGGTGGCAAAGGCGAGGGGACAGACATACCCTTAGTGGAGCTCAGGGGGCAGTGAGGGCTCCAGCAGGCACACCAGGCGCCCCAGTGCCCAGAGCTGCCTTCCCAGCCAGTGCCACCCACCCCTTAGTTCTTTCGATTGTAGTAAAGTAACGACAGAGTGCTTTATAATTTTTTTCCCCCTCAAGGCTTACTCCTAGTTCTTTGCTTAGGGATCACTCCTGGCTGTGCGAAGGGTGGAGAGGTGGTGGGCAGTGCTGGCCGTGGGACCTGGACCCACTGTGTGCAAAGCAAGGGACTCAACCCCTGCGCCATCTGTCCAGTTCTAGAAATGATGACAGATTTTAATTTTATTTACTTTTGATTTTGGGGGTTACACCTGGAGATGCTCAGGGGTTACTCCTGGCTCTGCACTCAGGAATTACTCCCGGTGGCGCTCAGGAGACCATATGGGATGCCGGGGACTCGAACCCGGGTTGGCCGTGTGCAAGGCAAACGCCCTCCCTGCTGTGTTATTGGTCTGGCCCGTGATGACAGAAGTTTAAAGCTCTTACTACCAATCGAACTTAATTTTCAACCCTTCAACCAGAGTGAAGAAACACAGTGAAACGCACACGCATGGCGAAAACATGGACAAAAGTCACACGCGGATCCTGGAGACGGGGAAAAACACAGATCCATTCCATTAGGAGAGATAAATCTGGATGTTGTCAGATTTAGGCAAACACTTATTGCTATGAGGAAAGGTTTCCTGAAGGGAGGACGCGAGCAAAGAAAACAGACCAATTAATCTTTCAACAGATGAAGTTTCTTGCCATGTGATTTTTATTGGGCTTTAAAAAAAAAATGCAGAGAATCTTCAGATTCTTTTCGTGTAAGGAGTTTGCCCTTCACAGCAATTCCATGATTTTCCCAGGACTTTCTAACGCTATGGTAACAGTAAGGAGAGAGTTGTCGGAACCATAGAAAAGAACCCTCCCAGAATACATTTATCCCTTTTCTTCTGGCCTCGAACCAAATACAGCAGTTCAAATGATGAGGATTACAAAATCCAGTTACCCAACAGATTTATGGGTTGGGATCTTGGAAAAGCTTCAACTTTTAAAGTTGTTTCTCCATTAGGAAAAGAGGCTTCACAAATAGCTAATTTTTACAGAGTATTTTCAAACAATCATGGCCTTTCCAGGTTCCTACGAAACCCCGCACTCTCTGGAGAGTAGAAAAGCTACCCCTGGCCTTTAAAAAAATTTTTTTCTTTTCTTTTTTAAAGTGCGGCACAGCAAAAGTGGAACCTGTGGAGAAGAGAAGTTTAGAGTCTTGGTCAGTTTGGGAAGCCACTGTGGTTTGCTGGCAGACCCTGGACCCTCGGGAGTGGTAGCTCGATCCGAAACAAGAGTCCCACTTCTTGGCTCCAAAACATTTCCTGTGTGCTCATGGATTCAGTTCCCAGATCAGAAGCTAAACTGATGCAGATACAAAAATCAAGACTCGCACACAGGAGAAAATTGCGACGGGAACCTGTTTATTCAAAATTTCTGCTTAGGGGATATTTTCAGTATTACTCTTTCCCCGGTGTCAACCTTTCCCTAGTCTGTCCTCCTTCCTTCCTTCCTTCCTTCCTTCCTTCCTTCCTTCCTTCCTTCCTTCCTCCCTCCCTCCCTCCTTCCTTCCTCTCCTCCCCTCCCCTCCGGGCCATAACTCCTTCCTTCCTTCCTTCCTTCCTTCCTTCCTTCCTTCCTTCCTTCCTTCCTTCCTTCCTTCCTTTCTCCCTCCCTCCCTCCCTCCCTCCCTCCCTCCCTCCCTCCCTCCCTCCCTCCCTCCCTCCCTCCCTCCATACCTCCATACCTCAATCCCTCCCTCCCTCAACTCCCCTCCCATTCCCTCTGGGCCATAACTGGCTCTGTGCTCAGGGATGGCCCTTGCTCTGGGGACTCTATGGGGTTCTGGGGGTTGAGCCCAGATCAGCAGCATGCAAGCCAGGAACTCAACCTGCTGTCCCATCTTTCCGGCCCCACACTTTTCTTTTTGTCCCTGTAGGAGCCTGTCAATCATCATTAAGAAAAGCAGAAAAAAAAAAACACCCAAAAACAAAAATGAAGGAGGACCAACTTCAAGAGCAGACGACCCCTCCTTTGATCCCTTTGTGAATCTGTCCTTGCTTTGAGAGGGACAGAAATGGGCAGCTGTGGCCTTGCTTCACTTGACAACTCCTGTCTGTAAGAAAGGGAAGCCAAGCTTGGACAGTGGGGTAATGACCTCACCAAGGTTGAGGCCCCGGTGCTGCCTGCTGCCCTCTCCCGGACACTGCCCGGGGCCTCCTTCCGAGGTCTGGATTGTCTTTCTCCGAGGTTGCCCCATACCTGGCTAGCTGCTGCTTTAGGAAATGAGGCCGTTCTTCTCTGAGGCTTCCTCCAAAGAGCTCGCCCACACCCGGGACCAGAAGATCGACAGCAGCCACCTGGGATGGAGGGAAAAAGCCCGAGATCATTACATTTTCAGGGAACCCCGGCAACCGCCAGGTTCCTAAGCAAGTGGAACTTTTGAACACTTCGACAATCGATTCAACTGTGTCCCCCAACTTTCTTTATGGGACTGCCTCACAGACCCTGGTTCCAGTCAAGCACCGAGACTGCCCGTCGAGCAAGGATGCAGGCTCAGCCTCTTCTCTCTTCTCAGCCGCTTTGGCAAGCTACCGAGAGTATCTCGCCCGCACGGCAGAGCCTGGCAAGCTCCCCGTGACGTATTCGATATGCCAGACACAGTAACAACAAAGTCTCCAGTGGAGACGTTACTGGGCCCGCTCGAGCAAATCGATGATCAACGGGAGGGCTTTGGCGGCATATCACGAAAATGTCTTTTCCGCACACGCCACATAGACGTTCGGGATTAGAAACGTGGGAAGTACTACACAGGATGAAACATAAAACTTACTTTGATGTCCTATCTAATACGGAACAATACATCTCCGATGTCAAGAAAAAGACTTCACCTAATTTTAAAGGTTTTGTTCGGGGGCCAGAGCTGGTGGCACTCAGGTGTCATGCTGCCTGCTGCTCGGGGCCACGCCTGGGGGTTGCTCTGGGGATTGAACCTCCATGCTCTGCAAAGCCTGGCCTTCAGCCTGCCGGCCACACCCAGCAATGCTCAGGGGTTACTCCCGGCTCTGCACTCAGGAATTACGCCTGGTGGTGCTCGGGGGACCATATGGGATGTCGGAGATCAAACCCGGGTTGGCCGCGTACAAAGCCAACGCCCTATCTGCTGTACCATTTCTCTGGCCCTGCCACTTCATGTTTTAATAGCTGTACAGATCACTCCTTAAAAGCATCTTATTTAATGACCTTTCTTCGGCTGGGCATTAAGGTGGTGCGTTGCTTTTTTTTTTTTTTTTTTGCCGCTTATAAATAATGTTTAGCAATGAAGATTAAACAAAAGTTGCAGGATTTTGTTAGGCTATGTAAAATCGGACTTAATCTTTTCAATTTTTGTCGTTGTTTGGTCTTTGGGCCTCACTTGGCAGGACCCTTACTCAGGGCGGGGCTCAGGGGGCCATGCATGGTCTGGGGACTGAAGTGAGGTCGTGAGCAAGTGCCCTACCCACTGTACCATCTCTCTGCCTCCTATGACCTGATTCCTAATCAAGGACCTTAAAACAAAAAATCGAGAAACTGAGAGAAATTATGAGGAGAAGGAAACACAGAGAGATGGGACAGCCAGAGAAGATGCTCTGCAGGTAGGTGGTCCAGGTCCAATTCCGGGCCCTGCCCTGGCTCCCAAGCACACCTTGTAAAAACCCCGAGGCACCATGGGTGTGGCCTGAAAAACCAAAGCCCAATTAAAATGAATTAAAGAATGTAGGAATCAGTACACTCCTAGGGATACTAGAACCTTTATTGTCAGGAATTTGGCAAAAGAGAACCAGAAGTCTTTAAAAAGTACCGTTCACGGTCTGGGAGATAGTTCAGTGGTTGGAGCATGTGGTCTACATGAAGAGTCCTGAGTTTGATTCCTGCACCGCAAGGTCCCCTGAGCAACCCCAGGAGTGACCTCTAACACTGCCAAGTGTGGCCCCAAGCCCAAGAAAAACACTGAAAAAACAGAAAGGGAAAAAAAAAGTAAACAGAACATTCTATCCTCATGGCGCTGAGTAATACACAGGATTAGGCACACGCAACATCTGCCACTCTTGAGTCTCAGGAAGGAAGAGTCCGTTCGACTGGGGTACGTGCTTCTGAAGCTTCTGAGCCAACGTGAAAGGCTTGCGGCCTCCAACAGGGCTTAGAACCAGCGACCGGAAGAATAACGAGCCACCGGCCAGCTGCGGCGGGTGGCCAGTGGCCAGTGGCTCGGGGCTCGGGGGACCCTGCTGAAATGTGCGTTTTCTGTTCGTTCAACAGCACCAGACAAGGGAGCCACTGTGGGCTGGCCTTGCCGCGGGTACCCTCTGGGATCTCAGCATTTTTGGCAGGTCTCAATTATGTTAATTTCTGACCTTGCTTCCCCTTCCAGCTTCCCTTCCGGCCGTCGCTGCTGCAATGGCTCTGGGTGTTCTCCGGCCAGACTGAGTCCAACTGTGCCTGGGGTTGGCATCAGGGATCACAGGGGCAGGCTGGGGATGCCAAGATGCGGGACTGAAACTCTGGGACTCAGCAACCGCTAGGCGGGTGCTCCCCAGCGATCCATTCCCCAGGCCCTCCTTTCTGTTTCTTAAATGCAATTATTAAAAGGGCACACAAGGGTCCTGCTTAGATATTTTGGATTACAAAACTCCTTGTTTCTGTGGTTTTTGAGTCATATCTGGCGGTGCTCAGGGCTTACTCCTGGCTCTGTTTACTCCTGGATCCGTCCTGGCGGTCCTCAGGGAATCCTCTGGGGTTCCCGGGATGGAACGTGGGTTGGCCTTGTGCACGGCGGGTGCCTTCCTGTACTATCCCTCTGACCCAGCCCATCTGTATTTTAATAATCTGAGCTAATTGCAGAACTAAATGTGGAACCTGGAAGTTTTTAAACCTTTCTGTATGGTGGGTGTTTGTTTATCTGGAATATTTGCAATTGCATAGTAATCAACTGTGGAACTGGAAGCTTCTGAATCTTTAGAGTTGCTTTAAGAATATGATGCCATCTTCAAAAATATTTCAAAAGGGGGCTGGAGTGATAGCTCAGTGGGTAGGGCGTTTGCCTTGCATGCAGCCGACCCGGGTTCGAGTCCCAGCATTCTATATGGTCCCCCGAGGAACGCCAAGAGTAATTCCTGAGTGCAGAGCCAGGAGTAACCCCTGTGCATCGTTGGGTGTGACTCAAAAAGAAAAAAAAAATATCTCCCTCTTCCTAATAACAATCTAAATGACTGAACCCAACAGTCACCAGATTGATTATAAATTAATGTGGAATGATATATTTTTGCCAGGATACAGTAAGTAACACTGTAGCCATTAACAATCTAAGAAGCTCAGTCTTAATATCAAAGTATTCGTGACCTATTTTGCCAGATAATTCTTTCTCCTGAGGATCTACTTTATGCCTTGTGGGATATTTAGCAGGAAAGCTGACCTTGGCTCATTCCATGCTACTTACACTCTCCCATCTGTGACAACTGGAAGTATCTCCAGATACTGCTCAATGGCTCCCTCATGGGGGTGAGGATGAACTAAAGCCTGAAGGGGAACCACAGATTTTACAAAAATGAATTACCTTAAAAAAAAAAAAAGTCCACCTGGGCTTGAAGCGGAGAAAAACCAAAGCAACACAAACAAAAACAATTTCTGAAGTAATAGTGAATTTTGTGGCAGATGGGGAAAAAAGAACATGGGCATTTATGTGCAAAAGCATCTGTCCATTGGGGCCAGAGTGACAGTACAGTGAGTAGGGCATTTGCCTTGCATGCAGCCAATCCGGGATTGATCCCTGGCAGCCTACATAATCCCCCGAGCACTGCTAGGAGTAACTCCTGAGTACAGAGCCAGGAGTAACGTCTGAGCATTGCCAGGTGTGGCCAAAACCCCAAACAAACAAAAGAACCAAAAAAATCGCCTTTGTTCCTAAAAGTGAGGCAGGCAGGTAGACAGGAAAGAGCCCATGGCAATGGATTTTCTGAGAAGCAATAACTCCAAAAACACTGAAACTGCAAGAATTAAGGCCTGGGCCTGATAAGAGCTTCCTGGCACCAGTGACAGACCCTATGAAGGCTGGACCCCACAGAGACGCAAACTTCAGCGGGACTGCAGTTAAGGATCTGAAGGAGGCTTATGACACCTGAAGGATCCTCACCTCTGCCAGAGAACCTCCAGACCAAGGCAACCCTCCTTGGCAACCCACCTAGCAAAGAGCTCTTACCTAGCTAGAAAGCCCCACATGGGGGCAGGCTGGAGAACCCCATAAACGCCACCTTGAACAAAGGAAGGGCCTGCCCGAGCCCATGTGCTGCTGGTGCCCACGTGGCTGAACACATATGCTGCCCGCATCTCCCCTCTTGAGACGTGGCCTGAGGCTCTCTCCACCTGTGGAGAAAGCCCCCCACCCCACACACCTTCTCCCTTGAGTGTCACTTTCTCACTTTCTCTCCTTCCTTCTCCTTCCTAAAAGCCTCCCAATAAAATCTGCTTTGACTTCACTGCGTGTCTTCTCCTGAAATTCCTTCCTTTCTGGGAGGAAGACAAGAACCCTGACACCCAGGGTAAGGCCCAGGACTGACTGTCCTTTCCTGTCGTCCCCGGGTCGGAAGAAAGTGACCCTCTCTTTCACCTCACACAAGCCACCCATGGGGGCCCATCGACTTCAAAAGTATCTGCCTACAAATAATGTACGTAAGACACATCGGCTCCCATATACATGTCAGAGCAGTTACATGACTGCGTGCGCGTGGGCGGGCAGAAAGGGGGGAGCCATGAAGGACCACCAACTCGGCCGGTCCCTGAGCCACTTGCCAGCACCCCTCCCCTCCCAACCATGCTCCGCCCTCTCAGCCCACTCCTCATCAAGAAGTGGGGTGCAGGTTAGTGGCCCCCTTCTTCCTTCTTCTGTCCTCTGGGAGAGGAACTCAGAAGTAGGAAAGAAACATCCAGGCACTCATGTTCGTGACTGAGAAACGGAGGGAGGGATGAGCCGGTTGGGGCCCCAACGCACCAGAAACCTTAGCTCAGAGCAGGCCCAGAGGCCACCCATGGCTTTAAATGCATTTCTGGGCTTTGGCACAAGGAGCATTTGCTTCCAAGCTTGGGCGAGACCTGTATCTTTTGCAGAAGGGACTCCTCCATGACAGAGGGTGCTGTTTCCTCTTAATCAAGGACAGATTTGGGGGGGCCAAGGAGGCGGCTCAGAGGGCTGGAGCATGTGCTTCGCATCCAAGAGCTGGGGGGAGGGGGTTGCACTCGGCACCCATGGTTCCAGGGGCATTGCTGGAAGTGGCCCCCAACAAGCCATCTCCTTTCGGCCCAAGATATTTCTTTCTGGAGCCAGGCC